TTTCGCTTCTGAGGCTTGAATTTTGGTTGTTGGACTACCAGTATCAGTGTTAGAAGGTGGGCAATGTGATCTAGGTTAAAAAGCCTCTCAATTGAAATCAAATCCTCTTGCTCGTTTCTTGCTTGTTCAATAGACCGTGGTGCTCTTGTGGATTTATTCATAAAATGTTTCGTGCCTTATATTTTCACAACAATTATTAATTACTTTAATAAGTAGTAAATTGTTTTAATGTGCGCTGATTCAATTTTGTCAAAACACCCCATAATAATATATGACAAAATAATCATTTTTCTATAAACATATTTAATCTTATATTTTTTAAATATATATACACATTAATTATTTATTAATTACATTTGTTATATATTATTAATTATGTTGGTAAAAAATATATTATTAACAAATTTACTTCTTCAGATTAAAAATATTATAAAATCTATCTTTTATGTAATTATCATATTAACTTATGTACTTTTTAGTAATTTTTACATATAAAAAGTGCTTCTGATAACAACTATCTAAACAATCTTACTGTATCAGAATCACTTTTTCACAAAATCTATTCTCTCAAAAATCTATACTCCAGAAGCATGGTTTGGTTCTATCCAAATATCTCCAATCAAATAGGACTAAAACCACCATCATGAAGCAACCTATTCTACTACTCGTATTTCAACATTTTTTGCTTTCAATGGATTATTATTTAATATATTTTTTTATATATGATTGTTATTCGAGGATAAATACTAGATGTTATTCGTTTAAAAATTTTAATCTCAATTTGTGAAAAAATATGCTAGCAAGAATCGGCTAGATTTTAAATTTTGACACACACAGACACAATCCCATATGCGCTAATTGCTTTCACTTTTGACTTCACCAGTGAAGCATAATAAGTGATAGATATCACACATGCCTTTATGACCTCTCACATGTGTATAATCTTCAAATTTTTCATAGGAGGGTGATACTTTTTTTAATATAGCATATTCCTGTTTATGAGAGATGCTTACAGGTTGTGTCCAACTTTTTTTTTATAAATTAATTTCTCATTTTGCTCTTATTTAATTAAAAAATGCATCTGACAAAAAGAGGGGGCGAAAAAGAGAAAAAAATTAACGGCATAAATTAGAAGAACATGAATAAAATAAAATAAAAATATAATTAAAAATTATAAAAACCCCATAATAAAATAAAACTATAAAAAAATTGGGGAAAAAAGGAAACCCTAATTTTTTACTGTTTTGACCATTGATTGATTTAGAACAAGATACAATATTCAGGCCCAAATACAAAGCAGTCCAACCATGTGGCCCAGTCGCAAACCAAACCCCAGGAGAGAGAGTCAGCGAGGGAAGCAGGACAAAGGTAGTGAGGGAGAGTAGTGTTGTTCTCTCTTTGGAGAAGACGCTAGCCATGCCTGCCCCCGCCCCCTTGAGCAGCGCTTCCGCCATGCTCCGCCATCGGATCCTCCCCGCCCTCCGAACTCGTGGTGGCGTAGCCTCTGGTCCCAGCCGTTGGACGGCCCCGGGCCACGAGGAACACCCCAAGGGTTACCTCTTCAATCGTACCCCACCGCCCCCGGGTCAGTCCCGCAAATGGGAAGATTGGGAGCTTCCTTGCTACATTGCCAGTTTCATAACGATCGTCATCCTTGGTGTCGGCCTTAACGCCAAGCCCGATATGACTATTGAAAGCTGGGCACACGAGAAGGCCCTCGAACGCCTCAAGATGGAGAACCTTGGCCTCTCCAATTCTGACTCCGGTGAATCGGACTGAAACTCGATCTGCACAACAGTATATTGGATCCACTCCTTTGTCCAGTTTCTTGTGTTTGGTTAATGGCACTCCCGGTTTGATCGGCTCCCTTCTAGGGTTTGATCTGTAGTTGAATAAGGCTATAAATGTGGAATTTGGGCTCCTGATGTAGTCTGATTACTGCATACCTAGTTGTTAATTCTGACTCTTAACATGTTAATTTTTGAGGCTGCTTATAATCAAGTTAATTCTATATTTTATGTTTTGAATGTGGATAAGACATTATAGACTCTCGCTGCTTTCTTGGCTCGAGTGATATTATATCTAAAGTTGCTATGATTCTTTGGTTCCTGTTGTTCCTCGAGAAACTCGTTGAACCAAGTTTTTATCCGAATTCTGATATATGTTTATAAATTCTACCAGCATATTTGGACTTGTCCACAGTTTTCCTTGGAGATATTACAATTTTTACCCAATTTCATGCCGCTTATGTTTTCACCCATGCTTGGTCAGCCAAAAGAATCGTGGGTTATAGGGATAATTTGCTTTCCCTTCTGAAGATTATGGATCATGGACATGTTCTAGCTCTAACCTGAATGTTGGAACTCATTCTACTGCTACAGATTGAAAGAATTTGTCAGCGCCTTGGTATATGATTAATGATCAGCCTTTCAGTTAGTTTCTGCTTTCATCTGACTCTATCTGCCTATGCTACTTGCCTGATCTAATTGCCTAAAATAGACTCCTTTTACTGCTTCATGGTACTATAATTTTTTTATTATCTTTCGTTTTTTTTTTAAAGGTTTGACCTAATCTCATTAAATTTACACAAGGAAGGATACAGGCAGGTTCTAGCTGCCAACTCAGAATTCCTCGTTTTGAAATGGGATCTTTAATTTCTAGTTTGGGTGAGAGTTCAATTTGCTGTGTTTTGTTGGTTTCTTTGGCAAGCTTCGAAGTGACTCTGATACTGTGGCCTAGAAGTTTGCTGAAAAGGTTTTAAGCGTGTCCGGCACAGAGCACTTCTTCTACGGTTTTAGGTAGTTTAGGTGGCTGATAGTGATTCAGTTTGAGAGCTATTATTGATTGAACATAGTATTTAAAGCTATATATGGGAATTTATGAAGGAACGAAATGGATGGAATGGAAAGGTAAGTACTGCGGAGAAGAATGATGATACGTGGTAATAGGGATAAGGTCACTTTGTTAGCACTGGAAAGGGAGAAGAGAGTAAAAACAGGAAAATACTAATTCATTGAACTCCAATTACACCCATCAGAACCCCTATTTATAGTCTTAATACCCATATTCCCAAACTACCCCCGATTTTATCCCTATTACCACAGATCAAATGAGTAGTCATGTACATTTTTCATGTCTGAAAGTTTAATAAGGGAAGAGGAGATGTTTAGAATGAAATGACTTGTACGTTACTTTTCTAATATTAATGTTGGGACTAGAATTTGATGTTGACTCTAATCACATCTCTTTTAGTAGATGAAGATATATTTATAGGAAGAGTTAATCTCGGACAGATTAGCCTGCCTTTTCATTGTTAACTATGCCTGCACCCTGATCAGTGTATTCCTTCCAAAACACCCAATTTAAGTTTTGATGACGAGAAGGATTCGTGGAATCCTTTCTTTATAACACAATGCCTAGCTTGATTTCTTATTCCATTCTTTTTCATATCTTATCCCTTGCCATCTGTTCAACAAACATAATAGTTTCTTCAGAGCTCGCTCGAAGTTGAGTGAAATAAGTTGAATTGTGAATTTGTGATGTCTAAGATAGCTCTGCTCCTTTCAACTGCTACATCCCTGCGATTACGTCTCTGCTTAAGAGCCAGAAGGATAATTCATATGCAGACTACTTTACAGTAGGAATTGGAGAAAATTGTGGATTCGACCGATGAAAATGATGTAGTCAAGGTTGTGTCCTTCGTTTTTTTCAGAGTCAATTACATATATATGGTAGTAATTAACTCGTGTTACACTTGTATCCTATAGCATTAGTTTTTTTTTTTCTTTAATTATTTCATTGCAATAACGGGTAAATGCAGAAATGCATCTAGAATGCCATTTTGAATGTAGCTTGACGGCCCTGAATCGTAATATAACTCTTCAGGTTGTCCTGTGAAATAAATCTCAAGCCGTGATTCATGATAACGAATGATGAATTCTGTCACTTATCTATCAGGTCAACTCTGCCTCCTATTTATCGTTTAAGTTAGAGACAATCAGCTTGTGATCCCTTTTCTTTTCTTTCTTGGTGCAAATAACCTTGTGATATTATGCCTGTGCAACTGGTGGCCACTAACTCCCTTAATAAGCCTTGTGTTTAGCTTCGATGCTCGTATTATTTTCACCGTCATATCCTGATATAGCTGTTCTCTTGTACGTTCTGACGTCTGAACTGAATCCCTATCCAAAGCCCGGGCCTTGAAAGTTGAAAGGAGTGTTCGTCAACTAAACTTGTCAAGACAGGCATTTAAAAGCCTTGGATAAATTCCTTTATTTACCCAAAAGAAAAAAGTTCTGGATGTGTCAATTAGATTAGATTGGTGCTTGTGCTTGACACACAATCATAGGAATCGAGTCCTTATGACCAGCATGAGTTGGTTGAGGTGGTATTCGACAGCAAGTGCATTCCCGAGAAGCGCTAAATGATGCACTCCCACCCCTCAAACCCGGACTAGATGTCTAACCCATGTTAAAAGGTCAGGATTCATAAAAGGTGCTGGATACCCATGGTGGGGTTCCCCTTATAGCTTCAAAAAGAGAATTTAGTCTTCATAATTTTTACAGGGCGTGCGCTGTGAAGGGTTTTTTTTTTTTTAAATCCAATACAAGTATATTTTTTAGGTGCATCTAACATTTTAAAATATTTTTTGGTGCATCATGCCAAGATTAAAAAAAGGTGCTGAAAGTACATAAAAAAAACATTCAGGATATTGAATGCAAGGCATGGCCTAAACATTGTTCATTATGCTATTCTTTTTTCTAGTTGTCAAATACGGCCATTTTAACGCCTTTTTGGGTAAAGATTAAACGTTTCTTTTTTATTTTCATTTTTTTCTTCCAAGTTATCTTTTAATTAATTTTTTTTAAAATTCTAAATAGACTGATCAAGCGGGGGGAGTCGCAATTCTTGCTCCACTGAAAATCAAGCAAGCACTTACTAGGCAATTGATCATCTCGTAGTTACAAGTACAGTATGATTCTACTATTTTATTCTATTTCTTGACCTGGAAAGACATTTATAATTGTATTATTGTAGAGGAGCCAGTATGTATAGGCTAAGCAAATAATACAAAAGCAAAATGAAATATACATCTGAAAGATCAACATATATCAGAAAGAAGAAAAATGGTGATTATGCCGCTTCTGCTTCTGGTATTTTATCTTCACCAGCTTGAGAATGGATGTGGCTTCTAAGTTCTTCAAAAGCCTTCATGCTCTCTGCATCAAAGCCTCCCGCAAACTGCAAATAGTTCCCAAAAATAAATTAAAATTTGTTATTCAAACTGGCTTACATTACACAACATTTTGCCACCTAGAAATGAACTTCTCCGTCTCTATTATCCTAAGTCTAGACATACCCAAACAGCACACGTCAATATTAAACTCTGAGATTAGTGCTGGAACATTTGTCAACATACGTACGTATCTGTTTTGAGTTGGAAAGAGCCTAGGAGGAATCTAAGAGCCTGGGAGGAAAAGTACCTGATGAACACGGAAAGCGAAGCGGACACCTTGCAGAACCAGAAATTCTCTCATGGGTTCCTTTTCTGGTCCCGATAAGGCATCAAGTTCAGACGCAACACGTTTCATATACTTTTTGGCCAGTTGCACAGAAGAAAGCTTGATCTGCAATAGCAAATTCACCGTATGTCAACATTTGATAAAGACTTTCGTTGTTAAGATTTTCTCCTACAAAACCCCCGTACGTGCATGGACAAACAAATTTCATAACTCCACTTGAAATCTTGGTCAAAAAAAAATAACTCCACTTGAAATTTTGAGTAGACTGAATATAAGCGAAACATCTCAAATTACGCTTGAGATAATCACTTTTAACTTTTAAACAGTTTAATGATTTGTATTTAAAAAAAAATTGAACTAGAGGAAAATATTGCAGATAATTTAATTTTTTTGTCCTTCACAAAGAATTATTAAAAGAAAAAACATGGTGCAATAGGTATTATTTCTAGGAATATCAAATAGTGGCCTCCCTCTAGGCAGGGAGGTGTTTTTGTCAAGCAACTTCCATTAACCAGCTCCTAAACTGTTAGTTGATTAGAATACCTTGCCAACAACTCCGGAATCTAACAACCAGTTTACCGGGATTCCAAATTCCTTGTATCGTGAAATAGCCATATCTCTTGTACGTAAGAGTGCATATACACTCTGCTCCACTCTGGAAATGTTAACAGAACAAAAAAGAAAATAAAGTTGTTAGATAAAATTGAAGGTTAACCAACATATACAAACTGTAATACAAAATGGGTAAAGGCCATGGTAAAATATTTTATGACTTGTCAGAAGTCCAAACCACGTCCAGCCTACTGCCTTGAAATAAATATGATATAATCATTAAAGCTATGAACTCTCAGGAAGCTCTAAGTTGGCATTCAAGTACGTAAAAAAAATGCAGAAAAAAGATACGTACCTTTCAAGCAATGAGTACATTTTCTTCAAAGCAGCATCGCATGGAAGATTGGGATCATCGTTGAAGGAGGAGACTTGTTTCTCCAATTTTATCAGATCCTGATATTCAAATGCTGCCTCCCTCAGAGCATCTGCTTTCCCTTCAGGCCAATCAAAGTGCTTGAGGACAGCTCGCTCATCAACCTTACATAGAAAATGTGATGAAATGAGAAAGTACGCAGTGATCACTGGTTATAGAATAATGAAATGGAAATAGATTTTAAAGGTGAATGACGTGGTAATTAATAAATTGGATTTCATTTCTTAGGGAAAAATTTAGAGGTTTTCCCCAGAATTGAACTTGCAAAATAAAGAGTGAGTAATGCTTTTCTCAGATGGATGAGTATTCAGTAATGACATTTAGGCATACCAGAAAGGAAAGTTCCTCATCCAGCCAGTTGACAAAGGCCACTAAATCATCAATGTCTGAGAAGGAGGCTGTCCGAACTTCAGTTGCCAGGGACATGACAAAATCACCTTGCGTTTCCACATCAGCTTTCACCTGCATTTGGCAGAAAAAATAGTAAGTCTTGAATGTAATGGCTCAAGCTCCGTGGCAACATGAGAATAGACAAAATAGAGTGAAGTTTATTTACAGCCAAGAGGAATGACGATCTATTCTCAATTTCGCCAATCATGTTGCTCCTAGCATCAGATGCATTAGTTGTTGAAGAAATTAATGATGAAGTATCCTTCTTGGCCTCCCGCTTCATCAATGTTTGATAAAACTCAACAAGCTCAGGAGCCCTGTGAACTTTATCATTACCCATTGCCCCTCTAAGGCTTCCTGGGGGAGGAGGGGGAGGCGGAACACCTGGAGGTGGAGGTGGAATAGGTGGAGCAGGTGGTACACCATTGGAAGGATTTGAAATTGTACTGACAGGAGCACCACCAGATGGTTTAGGAGGTGGCCGAGGAACCCTTGGAGGCCTTTTCTCAATGTGAGCCAGTTTCATCTTGTTAATGGTTTGATTATCAACACTATTACCATCCTCAGATTGATCATTAGGGCTACCAGAAACCAATGTCTTCTCCTTTATCTGAGAAAGTTTTGCAGGCAAAGACACAGACTTCTCTCTTTCGGCCTTGGCCAAGTTCAAGTTGTCACCAAACTTCTGCACTCTTGCTTGCTCAGCCTTTTCTTTGATATTTCTCTCCCTTTCTAAGGCCAATTTATGGCGGTCTTTATATGCAGGATATTTTTCATCCAGAGACACATCAATTGATTTAGACATCAATTGGAAAGAAGAGGCGACTGAATTGAGGGAGTCAGTAGAATCGGTTGGTTCTTGATCCCTCTGCCCAAAAGTAGTGATGGCCACGCTATCACCAGCATTCCTTAACATCAACGACTCCAGTGGGCCCTTGGATCTTGGGTTCATCATACTCATCCTTCTTGGAGAACTTCCTGAAAGAGATCTGGGCGATGATGAAGTAACACTAGAATCATCTTTGACTTTACCCCATTTCTTCAACTTTTGGATTAGGCTAGTTTTCTTGCTAAGGTTACTATATTTGCTAGTGGAGCTATCAACAGAAGTATTGTCAAAATCTTCACTTCCAGGAGAAGAGGGGTGGGAGAAGTTGCTATCAAGGTCTGTGTCTCCTTGCCCACGTTCTGATCCAGCATATTCTAACATCAACTGCTTAGCCTTCTCCTGAGATTTTGGGCTAAGACTCTTGTTGAGATCACGGGCTGATATTTTTCCTGGAGGGGCCTGGTAATTCCTGAGCTCATATCTCAAACATGCATTGACCCATCGTAGGTATACAAGCTCTTCAACTTCACTAAACCTATTCATTTGAAGCCCCTCAACTTGCTTTAAGAGGTCTTCATTTGCATGCCTCAGATTAGTGACTTCCTCTCTGGCCTTGACAAACGTTTCATTCTGCAGTTTGAAACAAAGCGTTTAATTTTAAATGCATCACAGAAAGGAAAAGAGATGGGCAATAACTTGAAGATCTAGAAAACTTCAAATTAGATGAAAATTATCTAGGTCTAAGGTTTAGTTCTATAGTCCTTTTTCTAGTATTAATTGAATTTTTGCAATATTTTCAATCATTTCTTTAGTAATGTGCCGTCAAATTATTCAGTTCATGTCTTTATGAGATAAAGAGGTCCAAGTAATATAGAATGTTTGCTGCATGAAAGGGGGAAATAAGATGGTTCAATCCAACAAGCATAGAATCACATGCTACTTCATTTATGCCCAATTTTTATATATTTGTCAGAATGCATCCATTCAATTTATCCTTGAAGGAAGAACATTGAATATGGAACACTGGCCTCTGTCATGCTAGATTCAGCAGCATTGAGTTTTACAATTAACTCTCGCTTCTCATGTTGAAGTTCTTTGTTCTTCCTCTTAAGCTCAACAACCTCTACTTCTAACTCGTTCAGAGCTTTCAGCTTCTTATCAATTTCAGCATCTTTTCTGACAGCATCTACTTCTTTTGCCTGCAGACCAGACACTTGTTGTTTAAGCAACAACAACTGGCCTTTTGTCTGGTTAGCCTCAAGCTGTATTTGCCTTTGCAGCTCCTTTATCTTGCTCCTGGCCACCTCAAGTTCCCTCGTGGCTGAGCCTACCTGTTCTAGCTCTTCTTGAAGTTTCTTTCTCTCTGCCTGCAAGGAATTGATTTTAATATTAAGCATATCTATTTCAACTGTCTTAATTTTTAACTGCCTATGTAGTTCCACAACGTCCGATTCCTGCTCTTTCAACCCATAGTACTCAAGCAGTTCGCCTTCGAGTTTCACTTCCCTCTCCTCCAATTCTTTTACTAAGTTCCTCAATCTTTCTAGCTCACTTGCATTGTTTGCCATCTGAGTTTCATAAACTTTGTCTTTTGCAGCCTTCTCGGTCCCGTTACCAGGTAGAGGAAATTCAATCTCCCCAGATAGAAGATTCTCAAATTCAGGTAGAATCTCATCTTCGAAGTCATGAGCTCGATTAATTATGCTGCTTATTAACTTAACCTCCTCTTCTTCCTCTTCCGCCTCTCGTTGCGACATCAAAAACATAAGTCAAATAAATCAGATAAAAGAAAGGGAAAGTCCCCATACATGCAATTTCCTGAATAAAATCCTTAAAAGCTACGAAAGCGATGAAATTTAATAAATATTCATCTTAGTATACTCACTTCGTTCTCGCTGAGACCTTTTGTAGAACTCGTGGCCTGCCCTTCTTCTGCTCCCTCTTCCTGACGCTTTTTGGACCTTCTTCTGCCATGTTCTGAGCCATAAATAGAAGGAAAATTTTACACAACGGAGGATGTTATGCTCAATCAAGCAAGTGGACTTCTCTTTACTAAATCCAGAAATGAAATGAATCAAAAGTAGCTAAAAACAAAGACGATGGCGCATAAAGAAAAGTACCTGATGATTTTGAGCCTCTGACGTTTAGCTGCTTAACACTATAAGCTGCGATAGAAGCAGCAACTAAGAGTCCTAACCTGACTATCATGAAGGGAAAGGTAATATTAACACCAGCGCCCTAACTTTGCATTTCCTCATTTCCCCCAACCTCCATAACTGAAGGTTCGAACCATTAGAAGCTTTTGGACATGACCCAGAATCTGAAATTGGTGCAGAAGATAGCAAATACGAAACCAAGTAGAATACTTAAACAAAACCCAGTTCAGGAAACTTGCAATTAAGATTAAATTCCATGGAATTTTCAGACATTGGGTTTCTATCTTCGTATCAGTTTATGAGACCTTTCCTGCGAGAAGCAAGACTGGGTTGCTTGAAGACAAGAAAACTGCAGATAATAAGCTGAATTTCAAGCACAAGTCTGATGCTAAGAAGAAGTACAACAGCCACCAAATAACAAGTGGCCAATCTTGGTCCCAAGAGATTGACAAAATTTACAATTTTGGATGGGGTTTAAGAGATGTTACCCTCGCGATTTGCTCGCAGGAATATTTACAAGTTGGAACAAAAACAAAGGCGCGTTCCTCAAGCGGGATTTGTCTCTTTCTTACATATTCCTCATTTATGGCTACTCTAACTGATAGGTTCAGATTTGGGAGATGAAAAATGAGGGGATGAGAAGAAGCGGGTTTTCAGTTTTTCTCCTCAATCCTCCATTTAATGTAGCCGTTTGTCCTTGCTGGTAAATAATTCTCAATACTAACGTCAAGTTCATATGTTTCCAGACAAGCATTGAACTTATCTGATATATAGTGACTCACATAATTGAACCAATCCTTTGGAGGATCTAAGGTTCAGGAGCTTGAGATTGATGTGTTGACGCCCATTTTAATTTTGTTTGATGGGAAAAAAATTAACATCATTAGCCACGCAGAGAGATAAAATTATATTTTTTACGAATAATTATACAATTACAAAGATAGTAATCTAAAATATATAATTATATATGAAATATTTTTTACAGCCTTTTTATTTCTCTTCAAATTACATCACAGATAATCCAATTCGGACGTGACATAAATTTGTTACGTAAACTTCCAAATTTGGGAAAGGTGATTTATAAATTGTTTTAAAGTTTAAGTTTTGTTAATTGTCAAACAAGATCACATTTTCTTTTCCAAAAATAGGGATCTAATAATTAAAAAAATTATTTATTATGTAACTGAGATCTTCGTCATAACACTATTATTTATAGGATAAGATATGTAACCATATGCACCAATTAATAGATGCAAGTACTTAAGGTTGTAAAATAGACAATACAAGCAAACTAAAGTTTGCTAAAACAAGTACTTTGTTTAATACTAAAATAATTAGTGAAGATAATTATTCATAATAAAATATTTATTTTAATCATTATCCTAATTGATAGAAATTCTTTCAAAATATGCAATCAATATAAATGGTTTAGAAAAAAAAATTATAAATTTTGAAGATAAAATAAATTGAATTCTTACCTTTTAAAATCAAAATAAAATTTTTAATTAATCTTTAGATTTAGCAAAAGAGGATGGGAGAAATATAAGAGTAATATTAACTTATCTGACTTTAACGTTATGGATTGGTTGTATAACTAATATTTTTATGAAGGCTTCCAATATTGTTTCCGGAAAAGAAAAAAGCAAAAATCTAACGGAATAACGGTGTAGTTGTTGGGGAGAGGACCCACAAAAAGATCATACTGATGAAGGGTTGAAATTTGTCTGACTAGAGAGGGAAGAAAAAGTAGGCCACTCTCAAAATGGAACCTTTTTTTTTTGTTGCTTTGAAAAGGGAACGAGGATCAAAGTGTAAAGGAGTTTAGATGATGATTGATAAATTTTTAAAGTGAAGCTGTTTGCATAATGGACTGAAGCATTTGGAAGAAGCAAGCAAGCAGCTGAAAAGTGAGTGAATAATGAATGAATGGCAAAACCTTTTGTTGAATGACTCCTAAGTCCTGCCCCACTTCCGTGTTACTCTTTTTGGCATTTGTATCCCAACTTGTGTTTCTTATGGTTTTACTGTTTAATTAAGATTAAGATGGGCTAATTGACACATGATTAATCATTCATTTTCAAGGTATTTTTTTCCTTTAAAATCGCATTGTTTTGTTTAATATTTTAACTCTTTCTTTTAGACCCAATAGAGTGTACAAAAGTTAACATGAAAAAGTCAAAAGAATTAATATGAAGAAAATATTAAAACTCAAGAAACTAAAACCAAAATTCATGCAAACTTCAAGAATCAAATATTATATTAACACTTTATTTTATTTTATGTTGTGTTTATTTTGTAAAACTATTGGATATGTATTGAAAGTTATTTTTTTTTCAATAAGAAGATGTATATTTCAATATTTATGGGTACGTATCCAAAAAGAATTTGTGTATATCAATATCAGTATGATATAGACACAAAAGTGTCAAGTAATTTAAAAGTTTTGGTGTTCCATTAAATTTATTCTAACATATACTTCACATATTAATCAAAATCTATTAATTTTCTAAATCTCTTGAAAATTAACTTATCTTTTCAGTTTTTCCCTAATCTACATGATTGTTGGGTGCACATTAATCAATACAGGGATAAAAATGAAAATACATTTCTTAAAGCTTCAAAATATCTCACATTTTAAACCAGCAATGGTTCATAGAAAATTTCCAATATTAGAGACCAGAGGCGTATCTACTTTAGGGCTCACCAATCACACTTGTCCAGCAAACTAGTTTTGATTAGAAATAAAAGTGGGCCTCAATGGCTTGACCACTAGTTGGATGAAATGATGGGTGCTGCTTGCTGACCAGAAGTTGAATGGAACCGTTGGGATTTCAATTTTTCCTTTTCAAAATATAATATTTTATAATTTTCAATTGAAAAACAATAAACTAATTTTCTTTTTCTTTTTTTGTGAAAAAATAAATTTTTTTCAATAATTCCAAGCTTTCAAAACAACAAGTGGCATGAGATAGGAGAGGGATTCATGGGATGGAAGCAGGTGGACCAGAAGCCAAACAACAGATGAAGAAGTCCATTCCATCAATATATCAATAGCTGGTAACTGTTGGGAGCTACCTGTCAACACTTCAATTTCATTTCTCCCATTTTCCCCCATCATATATTTGTTATATACACATATACATATACATATATATAAAATAATGAAATTGCTGATTATAAGTAAAACAAAAATGTCAATTGCAGATATTAATGTCATGGGCTCCACTGAACCGGGACTGGCCAAAACTATCATCCAACCCAAAACCCACTGGCTTCCGGAATTCCCACGCCATCCTATCCTGCAAAGCTTGTGGACATGAGTCTTAAGTGATACCCATACTTTTAACTTTTAAGAGATAGGATTGCATGAAATGAATAAAAATGTATGATTTTACTTATTTTTCTTCCCTAATTAATGTATATTACATAGGAGTATTTGCTTGGTTGATAGGAAAGATCCATATTTATAATTAACAGTTTGGAAATTCACCACCTCATATTCTTTGACATCTTGATTATTATGAAATGTGATCCTAAACATTATAGTCCTTTAAATTATCATGTTTTATGTGACAATTTTGACCTTTATTTAAAAGCTTATAACTGCACGCATATATTGAAATTAAAATCTAAGTCTTAGCTTATAGCTTCGAGGCCAAATGAAATAAACATTTGAAAGAATTACAATGAGATCTCAAAAAAAGAATTTAATTACACTTAAATCTATTGATAAGAATTTAATTACCCTAAAGTCTATTGATAAGTGAAGAGTAAACAGCGACAAGTTTCAGAATAAAATAACAATATATTCAAACTGGCCACTTGTTATTAAATTTTTTTGATAATTAAATTCCTTCCTTAGAACCTCTCAGTAATTCTCCCTAAATACTTCCTAGAGTGTGAGGTTGCAACTTAGAAATTTCAAAAGATAAGACGGAAATTTCACCCCCAACAAACCTGCTATATTACAAGGAAACAATTATATTATATTGCAAGATTATGAGAAGGTTTAGTCAAGACTTGAGAGAAAAGCATGCAAGATGGCTCGCCATGCTGAACCTGAAAACAGTGGCCATAGCCAAAAACCTCCCGAAATAATTGTATATTATTATTGTTTACAATTAACACCAGTGGATGATAAAATGTTCACAGAATCCTCATCAAGACTTGAGACTAAGGAATTTTTGTTAATAATTTACACCCATGGAACTTGCCTATTCAATTTTTGTCGTCCCCCTCCATCTTCGCCCTACCTCCTCTAGAACCGCTGCTCGAGCTTGGCTTCTTCTTGCTTCGTCCTCCACCCAAGATCTGCAATAATTGCTCCAATAAGATTCACATTCACCACTGAATATAATAAAATCGATAAATCTTGTTACACTTGACAACGTGATTAGCTCTTCTGCCAGCACTCGGCGTTTATATCAAATATATAATGGGCATCACTGCAAACTTTAGGAGGCAGCAACAGTTATATTACTTTTCTATGTTAAAAGTGGATGAAATTGCCCATGCAACTGTGCACGTTCCAAACAATATCTTGCCACCTATAATAAATATTTATACCCATCTTTGAGGATAGTTATGATAGCTTTGCCCTTGTTCTGAATAGCACACAATAGGTTTCTGGGGCAAATATTTCAGAATACATTTTATTTAGGGTTAAAGTACATTCAACACCCTGAAGCATTTTAACAAGTGCATCCAGCGTCCCAAAGTATTTTGTGGTGTATACAGCATCCCGAGGTATTTTGTAGGTGCGTCTAGCAACCTAAAGTATTTTTCTTGTCTTGGTGCTGGATGTAGTAAAAAATTTTTTTGAGTGCTGGATGCACTGAAAAAAAATACTTTGGAGGTGCTAAATACACCAAAAAATACTTCATGGTACTGAACGCATCTAAAAGAATACTTTAGAGTGTTGGATGCACCACAAAAGATTTTAAGGTGCTGGATGGACCTGAGAAAATACTTGGAGGTACTGGATGCATCTTAACTTTTTTATTTATCATATGGTAGAGCAAAAAGATACAGCACGAACAAAGCATCTGATCATCATAAACTACAGACTTATTCAGGGGTTATAGTACACTGTGAAGAAACGAACAATCGATGGCCAGGCATTACCTGGCCCCACTAAGACAGAGTTTAGATAGAAATCCAGCATCATGATGATATCTGAAAATTAGCAAACATACTCTGAAGCAAAGACCATTCAATGTGACATATCTGAAACCGTTTCCACAACAGCAGCTTTGCTGCATTTAGTAGTATAAACACAGGGTGCAAGAACAAGGGTGTACATTTCAGTTTGTGGGGGGAAAAAAAGAAAATTATGAATCATAACAATGCCAATGAAAAAAATGGTATCAGTGATAGCTAAAAGTCAAATAAGAAACAACACAGGTGCTTCACAGGACACTAAAATCAATTATGATCAAACATACAGACAAGTTAAATACTAAAACCATTAAAGAGGCAAAGAAAGAATATAAATCACCGCATAATCTGAAGAGCCTCTTTCTCAGCTTCCAGAGTAGATTTTTTATCAAGCATTTCTTCATGCTTGGACTCCAGATCTTTGAGCAACTGCTGCACAACGTGCTTTTCATCCAGATAGGCAACCCTCTCTGACGAAAGTGTTTCTGACATTTCATCAACCTCCTCCTTTACACTTAGTAGAAGCTGCCTTTGACAGTCCATTGCCGCCTTTTCTTTTAAATACTCAGCAATGTCCTATCTAAATTGACTTTCTCTTCTTCCAAAGTCCTTAATGCATCAAGATAATGCTTCTCTACATCAAAGCCACGAAATTTTTCTTCATTAAACTTCTCATCCCAAAACTTCTCTATCTCTCCTCTTCTAAGCAACTCAGACCTAATCTCTTCTGCCTCAGCTTGTCTAGCAGAATTTTCAGATTCCATTCTTGACAATTCAGAAGAAATTGCTTCCTTCATAACGCCACTTGTCAAAGCCACAGCTGCCTGTGCTATTGTTGAAGGCTTGTTTGGCTGGAACCGCTTGCTCTGTCCTATAACAGTAAGTTTACAGAAGTTGCTCCTCATTATGACATCCCTAGTCTTAGATTCTAACCATGGGCGAATCACTGAAGTATAATGGACTAAACATACACAGCAATATCCTGCAAATTCATTAAGAATTCAATTTCTGTTTATCAGATTTGGTTCACCTACTTCACATTGAGTGATTTGCCGGTAACTTGAACTTCATCATTCACTGTTCCCATTATTAGAAGAAAACACCGATTACCAAAACTGGACAACTGGTGTTCACCAGGGGAAAAAAAAGAAAAAAAAAAAAACTGGACCACTGCTGTTTACTATTGTCTTTGATGAAGCTAACAATTTCTTCTCATCTGCGACAGCTCTCAATTATCAAGATCCCTTAGATATGAAGATATAGCGGACAAGTGACATTTTGCGAGCATAGGATCAAATGATGCCCGGAAGTGATAAGGAAAAATATTGCATATTGTTAGATAGAGAAAAAGACTGTGATGTGATACCAAAAACTTTTCTGAGCAAGCTCCTATCCCCTGCCAACATGTCCACATAGAGCGCTGGGGAGACGTGAGAACTGATCTCCTTCAAATCCATGAAGCCCACTTTTTTAGTTGACATCTGGACTGTAGACAAGTCAGGTTTTAAGAGCTGATAGGCACATGAAATTTCATATTTTGCACATTCGAAACTCATTCACAAACACATCATCTGAATACATCTTACCTGATCAATTACTTCAGGGGAAAATTCATACTCAAATTGAGCTCTCCAGTCCACTAAATCTTGTCGTGAAATGAATCTGTACATGTGATTAGTAAAGCAAAACAGAAATTTATTGAAGAGAAAAAGAGCTAAGTATAAATGTACCTATCAGGAAAGAATTTCAAGTTCTCTTGACCCCCATGTCCAGCAGAAGTTGGAGATAATTTGCTGGGGATGACACCAGCTTCTGCTAAGGCTTTAATTGCAAATAAGGAGGAAAAACAAATTAAACTTCTGCCCACAGAAAACAGATTTTCTTCTAGAAGTAAAGGTCAATATTTACCTTGAATGGCCGCAAAATCTGGGTCTTCAACTCTGATATCATCAAAAGCAGTAACCAAAGACCCAGAGAGCGTAACTATTGGGGCAATCCTGTGTTTTGGATTCCTGAAAGACAAAGAAATCCATTTGCTAAAAAACCACAGAGAAAGAGAAGTTTCGGCTATAAAGCATTCCCAACTAAAAAGTGGTCTTCATGCGTTGGATCAGACACTAACCGTTCAAGAAAAGAATTTAATTTAACCAGCCATCTTGCAAATTCCCTTCTCGTGCACAATTCATGAGGCTCGACGTCATCTTCTAGTATCTATACAAATAAATAAAAACCAGAACATTTTTGCTGAGAAATCAAACCCAAGGTTCAAAAAACATCATAATATCAAGTAGTTTAACAGATAATTACTGGAAGTAAGAACATAAAAATTAAAAAAGCAAGTAGCCAAACTACAAGTTGATATTCCAGTTAGAAAGCAGGTATTCATAGAAGTCATATCTTCATGATAAATCAGAAGTGGTAAGTACTTCGGAATCTAACATATTCATGGTATATGTGTGTGTAAGCTAAAAATAGTTTAAGACTCTGGACAAAAGAACCAGGCAGCCAACTGCATCAGATTTTTCATATTCTATTAGTCCAGATAAAAACTATATAATGACCCTGTAATACTATATACCGTCAACACGATTTAGGGGGATACTACCAGTCTCCTATATTTATAAAAAGATAGTACTTTTGGAAACAAACCTTCAGCAGCTTCAAGAGTGACAATGCTTCTTCTTGGGTAGAATCAACGGTCACAGGAATTATAACACGCTCTGGCTTGTCTACAGCTGCAGATTTTTTTTTTTTTTTGTGGGGGGAGGAAATTAGTTGGCTGATATAACAAAAACAATGTTACACCGAAGATAGCAGACCCTCCAACCTATGCTTAAGCAAGGAGCATCAAAGCAGTAGAATGTCTTCAGAAGAAAATAACATTACAGACCAATCAGAAGTGGATCGCAAAAATCAACGGTACTGTAATTACTATTAAGACCTATGCTAGATGCTGATGAAGAGTAATACATGGAACAGAAATACACTTTGCAACGCGTAAAATGTAAGAGGCACCCTCCACATACCAGATGTAGCAGTTTCTGTAATCGGAACAGGCACGGTTTCTTCCATCACATCCGACATCAAATCATTCTCATTAGATGTGTCAACCTCTACAGTTTTGTTTTGATCTCCTCGAACTTTCAAAGGGCTCAAAATTCCATGCAAAACTTGCAATGGGCCTCCAAATTGAACCTTAAAACCTACATACCACAATTTGTGAGAAATTAACCAACCTGGAAAATACCTTGAAGCCTTAAAACCATTTCTCGTGGCTGACCTTTCCTCGATAATGAAAAGCTAGCGATGACAGCAGCCAGAACAACCAGTGAAGTACCAATGCCAACTACCACATACGAAGGAAATGCTGCAAAGATGTTTTAAGTCACACCTTTTCACCAAAATTGCGCTTACCAAGCAAAATTTGCAAATTACCTCTCTTCTTTTTCTGCGGGACCGGATACTCAACAACAGCCCAGCCACCAAAATCATCACTAGGATTCTCATTCGGAGAAAACCACGATAGCCCAAAATTAGACTCGGCGATTGCAGCGGATATTTGGCGCCTGGAAATTGTGGGTCGAACGAAGTAGAGGAATGGTCTATGACGGTTGAAAATAGAGCTGTTGCTTCGTAGTAGAGGTGAGTGCGTCTTGGTGGAAAGGAAGAGGTTGGAAAGAGATGAAGTAGCAGAGCACATTTCTGTAGAATACGAAACAGAAAACCAGAATTCGGGTTAGGGTTTAGGGTTTGGCGGAAGGAATATGCGATCAGAGGGTAGACATGGACGGATTCTCGAGCTATGGTGCTGAGTAACTTGGGAATAACTGTTGGACGAAACGCGAATCAAAGCGGAGCAGTGGGGCGGGGGCATCAAGGAGTATTGTCCAATGTAAATGTTGTGTTTTCTTTGGCTTCCTCCCCAAATCTGGCTTGAACGCCTACTAATTCAAGTCCAATTTGCACTGTTAATTTGGTAATTCATGATGTAACTAAATCTGGATTTAGTTTTTAAGCTAATCCTGGGATGGGATAGGGATCTTGTATTGACAAAATTCAAAATGAGTCATAATCCTATATACTAAATCTTTATGCTTCTTTTTATATATTTTTAATTGAGATATTGGTGTTATTTTGTGACTATTAATATAGATAAACACTTATTTGCAGAGTTAAAAAGTCATACTTTCTACTTTAGCCATTAGCCTTAATTGACACACATTGTATGAGCATAATTAGAATAGAAACTGTAAGTGCAATATTGATATAAAGAGTGAAGAAGCCCTTTTGGTTTTTCCCTGTCCCAATTAGCAAGAACCAATATCAAAATATCGTTTCCACACTGAAAAGAAAAGTCTTTTTATACTAATTAGAGAGCCGTTGCAGAGATCCTTTTTTAATAGTTGCAAAAGAATATTTTATTAAAATTAAGCAATCTATGTAGCTTTTTTAATTTGCCAAATTAATTAAATAGTTGTTACACTAAAAATGAAAGAATATCTTACGTAGTAGACTAAGCTAATGAGCCCAAAATGCAAACATTATACTATTTTTTGTTTTTAATATAAAAGATAGATAATTAATTTATAAATATTAAAGAAATTCGGTAAGTTAATTATTTATAATAAATACATATTATCTTTCCTAAAATATCCTTTTTCATCGTATACATTTGAATTACCTTTTTAATACGTGCAATCATTATAAGAATGACTTGAAGATAAAATGAATAAATATGATAGACAAGATAAATTAGGATATTATATTTAAGATTAAAGTGAATCTCCAACCAGTTTTTATATTAATATTAAGCAAAAAAAGTAGTAAGATTTACATGACTTGTAACTACTAATTAATCCAGTAGTACAAGTCCATCAACAAATTTCTCAAACACATGATATTGGGTAAAACCCAACACACAGAAGTTAGAACATTGTGGAGTATTCTTACTTTCATCATGTCCAAATGTATAAGGAACTAGAAAAGGACAAGCAAAAGCAAAGCCTTCTTGGTGGTGGAGGGATCAGAGAAGGAAAATTTGGTTTGGAGAGATTGATGATGTTGGTGTTGGTTGTTATTATGATGTGAAAGAGCAGCAAAAACAACAAGCACACCCAAAAGTGCAAGACCTAAACCTAAACAATTGACCAGCACAGATTCTGCAGAATGTTTGGATGATTGTAAGAAAATGAGCTTCTCAGCAGTCCAGTTTCTGCAGTTGCAACAGCCAGACCATATGTGTAGAGTCCCAGGAACACATGCCAAGGTAGTATTCTGTTCCTCACCTTCCTCCCCTCTCCTCTGTGCCAAAAGTTCCAGAATCCTGTCAACCACTGCACATCCATTCACACAAATTCAAGTCTCTTTAATTCCTCAAATCCAAAACTGTCGGAAGGTTGAATTAGTTAAAAGTGATCGGTGGTATTGATCGTTTAGTTAGTTAATGACCCTATCTTTATAAAGGGATCTAGCTCGTTTTAATCATTTTTGGTCCGCTCTCTCACAATGCTACGCTTTGAAGATGCTGAGAAAGTGAATTGTTTTCTTGTTCATAACCCTTATAAGAAAGAGAGGGGTTATTGAGATTTGTAGTATGAGTATATTTTGCTCTTTCACAAACAATCAATAATTCATTCGATTTTAAATTCATACGATTTTAAATATAAGAATTAAATAATTAATTTATAGATTAAAAAAATTAGTTATTTGTTATAAAAAAAAGATTGTGTTAAGTTTTTTAAGACATCAACCTGAATTATCTGTATTGAAACTAACATATTAATAGCACTATAAAAAAAATAATCATTATTTTTTTTTATTTCGATTTAAGTCGTTAACCTTTTTTCTTGTAATTTTTTTTAATTTATATTATATTGGCGCTTTAATTTATTGACAGTTTTTTAATGTTTCCAGCAGATTCCCTAATTTTGTCCTCAAATATTTTGAGATGCTCGTTACAGGAATATAATATAAAACGGGAAGTATGACATTACCAAGAACAGAAAAGGACAATAAGATATTATTTGTTCTTTTCCAACGGACACTATGATATTAAAAGTTAAATCATTAACTTCAAGAAATAAATAATTTAAAGGACATCAAGGATTTGGTAGGTAAGCATATTTTATTTTTCCTCCAGCACTAAATATTAGACTTAAATAATAGGCGTGCTTTGTTGGGCGCAAAAAATAAATTTCATCATGTGATAAATATAATAAACTTGATATAACCATTGCACTCATCAAAATCACGAAAAAAAAAACCTTAAATCCCGTTAATTTTGTTTTAAAATGAGGAAATTAGAAATAAATCCCTCATTAAAAATTTAATTGGTAAGTGGAATCTAGGATGATTGATTGTACAAGAAAAGATTAGTTTTACAGAAAGGATGATAATAAGTTGCATAAAAGGAAAATAATTTGCATAAAATATTATTTAAATATAAGGAATTAGTTTGCACATAACGAAGATAACTTGCATATTAGAGAATTTTATTTGTACAAAAAAAAATTGAGTTGCACATCGCACAAAAAAAGATCATTACACATAAGGAAAGATAGATTACATACAAGGGAAGATAAGTTGCACGCAAAAGAAGTTAAGTTGCACAAAATTCTTAGGTCCCATTTGCCAATTAAATTTTTAATGGGAGATTTATTTCCAATTTTTCCTTTTAAAATTGAATAACTTTTAACTTCACTCCTAATTAATATATATTTTAAATAAATTATAAGTAAACTTGTACATTCATCTAATGTATATAATTGTAAGCATCAAATTTTTAAACGTACGTGCTTTATTTCATAAGCTTCATTTTAGATTTATCTTAATATTTAATATATTTTTTAACTTTACCCTTATTTATTTTTCTTTTATCATACTCTCCTACATATTTTTTTCAATATTTTTTTATTTATTATAAAATCATATTTAAAGATAAAAATATATTTATATCATATTTATTATTTTTAATTTATTTTAACTAATTATTTGTTATTATATTAACAACTCAGAAAATAATCTCTCTTGTAGGTCCTGGGACTCGAATTAGGCAGGGTGCTTTCTTACACGTAGCACTATAATATAGGGAGAATTACATTCAAGTCCCACATAAAAGAAATAATCACTACAAAGTCTCAAGTAACAACCTAAACAGCCTGTAATAACAAGTCCTACAGTGAGAATGACAACCTCTGGGATTTATTTTTTAATTACTTGAGACCTCTCCCTATAATATATCCACAAAGCTAAAATATCTAGCGGATGCGTGGGATTCCAATCAATTATTAATGGGAGAGATTATTAGTTCTCGGGAAGCATAACCAAAAAGAGAGTGAGAGAAAAGTCATCAACTTTGAAGAAGTAAGACCAAAAATACCAGAAAAGGAAAATGTGGGCACTGGCAGGAAGAAGAAGGTATTGAAGAAAGCTGGGGATAGACAGATACCTGGGCAGCAAAGAGGGAGATGCAAAGCAAACCCATCCAAGAATGAAGGCTATAGAAATTAGCCACAATCCCATCTTCTCCCTGAAATCTACTCCAAATCCCAAACACCGCACAAGTCATGGCCAGCCCCTGAAGCCACAGATGCACACTTTTCTTCATCCCTCTCGACCCTGGAAGCCATCTGTGAACCAATATTGCTGCACACAAATTATTATCAATAATGCTGTCTTGTTCATCATTATTATATTATCAGACTCAGATATCAGGAGCTACTACCTTCTCCGCTGATGAGAATGAAGCCAATCACCATGAGCAGAGGATGAAGAAGCTGCAAGGCAGAACAATGGAGGAAGGAAATTAAAGCAGGTTTCTGCAGAAATTAAGAAGAGAAGTAGCAGAGAGATAGAAAGAGAGAGAGGGAAGTACAGAGTAGAGAAGGTGTTGGGAAGAGAGTGAAGAGGAAGGGAGGAAGCTGGAGGTGAAGGAAGTGGCCCACAAAAGTACCAGAAGGGCCACTGTAAACCCTAAAATTCTGACCATCAAAAGGAGGAAGACGAGAGAGGCAGAGGCAGAGGCAGAAACAGCCATTTGAAGCGTCTCAGACGACTCTCAGTAGAGCAGTGAAAGTGGCACCGACAAGGGAGCATGAGCGTTTTAATTATATCCATTGATGGATGGAGCCAACTCCTACAAAAAAAAATAAATAAAAGATTTCAATGATGTGATGTTGGAGTAGTATACCTGTAAATCTAAAAATATACTTAAATTGATCATTCTCTATGTTTGCTCTTTTCACAAAAAATATGTTTTCATATTTTCTCTATATATTTTTATATTTATTAAGTCAACAGAAATAAAATTTAAAAAAAATTATTAATTATCATATAAATAATTTATATGTAGAAACAAAAAAAAGTTTTTTTTACAAATAATTTATAAATAGAAAGTGAGAGTGGTATGTTTTGGCCACACTAGCAACACATTGCACTAAAGTGGGAAAAGTGGGGCCACTTCATCAACTTGCCCTCCACCCCACGAAGCCACTCAGCAGTATGATACTGGTAACGTGTTAATGAACGAAACAACCTCCTCTTATTACTACTCAATCTTGAACTTAGTGAAAGGGACGAGGACTTCACAATTCACAATATAATGTACTACACTAATATTCAAATTTCTGAGTCACAGTGTCTTAAAGATAATTGCCTACCTGAGCAATTGAAAAGAAATGGTGCAACAAAAAAAAGAAAATAAAGAAACTACTTTTATAGCAGGCGTAAAAAGACACTTTCTATAATTTTCGGTTGAATAACTAGCGCAGAAGGTTATGAATTTTTGAACAAAATTAAATAATTTAAATAAATATTTACTCCGATTGTTATGTTTGACAACGTAGAAATCTTATTCTATGTTGACCGGAAAAAAAAAGTTAAAAAGACACTGATTTTATTTTTAGAAATTTCATCAACCATTTTCTTTACACAAATACACAATTAGCGTACACCATATCCTTTAGCGTAGAAAGACAACGGTTTAAGAAAAGTTAAAAACATATTTTGCATTAGTTATATAGAGATATTCAAAGATGACGTTATGACGATGACGTATAACCAAATTAGTGATACAAGATAAGAGCTCATTTAGATTTTATTTTAGTTCTAAATATAAGACCTTAATCCATTTTGTTTTTCATATTTTTTTTAAGGTAGTCCCGTAATAATGATAGTTCTAGTTAATATACTTGATTAGTAAAGATATTTTAGGAAAGATAACACATTTATTATAAGTAACTAACTTAACAGTCAATTAGCTTTTATAGTAGGGACCAAAAATAGTGCGATATTATTAATTAATATTACATCCCTTGAAAAATTATTAAGTTGAGATATTGCATGGCATTTTTTTTAACAAAAGAATGCATTTTATTAATGGAATCACTAGCACACAAAGGCTAGCAAAAAGAAACAGTACAAAAGTGCATTACCCAATACCCACTCGCTTACCAGCACTCATCCCTGGATCAAGACTACAGTTATAAGCCAACAACATCATATCTCAATCTGTTGGAAATGAGGTGATGCTAAAATTAGCACAATATAATCTGCAACGCAATTCCCTTTTCTTGCAACAAGGAGAGGTTTGACATGAGGCCTATTGTTCAACAAGCAAAGGATTTCATTGAAGATTTGCACACACTGCCATTCAATCATGTTCGTAGCCTTGCCTTGGACAGCTAAAAATGGCTCCACACAATCGGTCTCTAATACACCAAGGAACAACAGAATTGATCACCAAATAGAATTGCTTCCTTGAAGGCAACACATTCTGAATGAAAAGGCAAAGAAGCTTTCACTGCCTTGCAAATGCTTCCACGTACCATGCCTTTATGATCTCTGCACACAATCCCAATCCCTGCACAAATAGGATTCTTCTTAAAAGCACCATCAACATTAATCTTTGACCGTTCCAGCTGTAGGGGCTCTCTAAAATAATTCCCTTACAACATGATTGTTAGTTCTACACCGAATCTGACCAGTCTCAGTAGCTTTGACGGTCCAAATTTCATTTGCCAGAAGAGTAGCTGAAGAAATCACTTTCATAGGATCTACTTGGATCCCTTGGAAGACAAACTCACATCTAGCCTTCCAAATTCTCCAACTCAAAGTAGTAATAAGCTTTCATCTCTTATCATCAATGCTATTATTGTGCAAAAACATTATCTCAAACCATTTTCTAATGCACACACTCTGATTAGCATTAATAGTTATACACAAGGAGCACCCAAACCAGCATCTATTAGCCGAAGGACAAAATAAAATAAGATGTTCTATACTCTCAACATCGCATTTACAAATTGGATAGATTTTATCTCTTAACACATTTTCTTTTAAAAAGCACTTCCATAGTTGCAAGAGCACCATGCAATAACCTCCAGATAAAATGTTTGATCTTAAGAGGGACTTGAAGCTTCCACACAGCACTCCAAAGTTGGGTAGGGGATCATGTAAGAGCTCCTAGGTCTTGGCACAGTACCCATTTTCTTAGCATGCTGATATCCTGATTTAACAGTATATGCTCCATTTTTATTGAGTAACCAAATAGGAACATGCTCATCATCAACTTTTGGTACCCTCATTCTTATAATCATACTCTTCTCATGGTCTGTCAACTTGTGAGCAATTTAATGTAGATTCCAAGATCCATTACTAATTAAATCACCAACTTTCAAGGCTCTTTCAGCATCAGAATCAGGTATGCCAAAGATCAAATGATTTGGATCCTCAATTAACCATCTCATACCAAAAACATTAACACTACTCCCCCTCCCAATTTTCCAAAACATATTACTCTTTAACAGATCCCTACCTTCCAGAATACTTTGCCAGGCCCAAGTAGCTCTTCCACCCACTTTTGCCTTCATAATGCTGGTCATGGGAAAATAAATGGCCTTTAAAATTTGACACCACAAATCATTAGGCCTTTGTATAATTCTTCATGCTATCTTTGCCAAAAGAGCTTTATTGAAGGCATAGAGACTTCTAAATCCCATGCCACCATCACCTCTTGAGTTCGTCATATGCTGCCAATTCTTCCAATGAATCTTCCTTCCACTTTGCTCATTGTAACCCCAACAAAATTCGGCAACCATACTATCAATTTCCCTACAAGTGTTATTAGGAAATAAAAAAAGTAGACACTGAATAAACAAGTATTGAATTTACCACCGATTTGATTAGGACCTCTCTACCAGCAAAAGTTAACAATTTTTGTTTCTAACCCAACAATTTCTTTTTAATCTTATCTTTCACAAAAGATAGAGCAGCATTTTTAGACCTTCCCCAAATAAGAGGGAGGCCAAAATAATTGCTAGGTCCAGTAGTAGCTTTGATACCTAAAACATTCTGAATTTCATTTTTCAACTTAGGAGAGGCATTAGTAGAGAAATAAATGCAAGATTTATTAGAATTAATCTCTTGACTAGAAGCGGCACTAAATAAGTTCAGAATCTGTTTTAACATAAGGCAATTTGAGCTTTCAGCCCTAATAAAAATTAAAACATCATCTACAAAAAGAAAAACAATGAGACAAGATAGGGCCACCTCTAGAAAGTCTCATTCCCTTTAAGTCACCAGAGTTAATATGATATTGCAGCATCAAAGAGAGAACATCAACAACTAAAACAAAAATATAAGGAGATAGAGGATCACTTTGTCTCACGCCTCTTTCTGGCTTAATTCTAGCTAAATTTTTGTTTGAGACTACAAGATCAAAAACAATTGAAGAAATGCAAGACATGATCCGGTTTACCCATTTCTTACAAAAACCCATTTTTATCATGATTTCCTTAAGAAAGGACCAATTAACTTTATCATAGGCTTTGCTAAGATCAATTTTAAGAGCTAAGTCACTCCTTACCCCCCCCTTTTTCTTTTCTTTTTTTTTTTTAAAGTATTGGAAAGCCTCATGTGCAATAATAACATTATCTTGAATTTGTCTACCAGCTTGGACATTAAATGCTTCGTCATCCTTTTGGTCATAATCTTTGCAATGATTTTGTAAGAAATGGTACAAAGACCAATAGGATGGAATTGAGTTACCAATTCAGGTTTATCAACTTTAGGCACTAAAACAATAAGTCAGGCCCCATATTTTAAAGGAAAATGACCATTTATTATGCTATGACATTAAAAAATAACTTGAAAAGTTAGGCTCGATCCGGTGACAAAAGTGGGTTTTAAGTTAGTCGAGTTATTCGGTCCAAGCCCAAGTCCATTTATTTTTCAAGCAAAAGCATAGAGTTAACACTTTTAACTTTATACTACAGGATTTTAGTTTAGTACTTTAAGTTAAAAAAATCATATTTTTAGTCTTTTAATTCTACACTTGTTAGTATTAAATGATGTTTTTATGTAACAATTATATTTTTTTTGAAAATTAAACTTTATTTTTTTTAATAATTTTAGAGTTAAATGACTAAAAACATACTTAGTTAATGCATCAAATTGAAATATTATATAAAGTTAAAGAATTAAAACTAAATTATTGCCTATTTTGTAACATCCAAAATATTTATTTTTGGATTTAAGTTTTATTAAAAGAAGATTAATTAATAGTACTTAAATTTCATCTTACTGCTTAAATTATAAATCATAATTTTGATGATATATATATAAATAATAATAGTTTTTTAAAAAAATATTATTAGACAAATAAAAATAAAAATGGCAAGTGGGTGGCACGTGGCCATCCACCGCCGTGAAGATTGCAAGGGGCCTGGTGGGCCATGGCCCTTAAATATTTTTTTTTAAAAAAAAACCTCCTTTGATCTTATTTATAGAATAGAGAGAGAGAGTTTTTTTTGTCCTGTTTATAAATTATTTCATTAAATTTTTATTATGAATGTACTATATTGTCTTTCATTTATTATAATGTAAATAGTTTTTTTTAAAAAGTGTATATATTAGATAGGGGTAAAGTTGAAAAGTTACTATATTTTAATGAAGAGTTAATATAGTTTAAGGTTTTTCTTAGACTGTGTGAAACATGTTAGAAGTGTCTTATAAATAGGATCAGAGGAGTACATCAAATGCATTTCATTAGTGGGGGTCGTATGAACCCCTCACTTTCAAACCTTCCCCCTTTTCTGCTTCGTTTTC